CGGGTAGCACGATTTGCAACATCGTAATTTTATTATTGTTATCATTATAGCACGGGTAGCACGGGTGGCACGGGTAACGCACGTTTAGGGTAATAACGCACGGGTAGCACCATCGTGTTATTAGTATCATTATAGTATACGCACGGGTACTAACCATGAATGAAAACCGTAGTAATGCACGGGTAGTATCCATATTATTAGTAGCATCCTAGTATTACTTGTGCCGCTACCTGTATGTATTGTTATGCTGACGGGAATGATGATGGTGGTGGTTGTGGTGGTGATGATGATGATGGTGATGGCGACGACGGTGATGACGATGATGTCGATGATGGTGATGATGGTGATGACGATGATGACGGTGATGACGGTGATGACGATGATGTGGTGGTGATGACGGTGATGACGGTGATGTGGTGGTGATGATGGTGATGACGACGATGACGATGATGACAATGATGACGGTGATGGCGACGACAGTGGCGACGACGGTGATGACGACGCTGGTGATGACGACGACGGTTGGTGATGGTGAGAACGATGACGGCGGCGATGGTGGCGACGATGCTGTGTAAAGCACCATGGCCCCAGGGGCCCGCCCAGGGCCCAAGCCCCGCTGGCGGCGGCACCGTCTCGGCCGCGACTGGCGCCGCCACTGGGCGCCAGACGCCCCGCCTCGGCCGCGACCACTCGCCCCGTCTCGGCCGCGACTGGCGCCGCCAATGGTGATGTTGATGATGATTATGATGCCGATTGCGATTGCGATTGCGATGATGGCGATGATGTCGATCGTGGCGATGTTGGGGACGATGACGATGATGACGATATCGATAGTAAGATCGAGAGTGAGATCGGATATCGATAGTGGGATTGATAGTGAGATCGATAGTGCGATCGACAGTGAGATCGCTAGCTGGATCGATAGTGATATCGATAGTGAGATCGATAGTGAGATCGAAAGTAGGATCGATAGTGAGATCGATAGTGGGGTCGATAGTGAGATCGATAGTGAGATCGATAGTGAGATCGGTGATATCGATAGTGAGATCGATATCGACACCTATAAGTCAGGACAGGCGTGCCCCCTTGGCCTGGCTGGCCCTCCCCCTCCGCCCCCTCCCCCCTCCCCCTCCGTAATCGAGGCGTTCTGGCCACAATGGAGGTCGGTTCCCTCGGGTTGCGCCAGCCAGCAGCAGCGATGGCGAAGCGCGTGCCCATCCGCGTTGCTGTCCCCACGACGTCCGAAACTGAGATCGCAGATGCCCTCAAAGCGCACGTCGAGAAGCACGGCGTCCGCTCGGCATTCGATCTGGGGCGGTACGAGTCGATCAGTCGGACGCGGGCCGCGCATGGCCCATCGTTGGCGGCCTCTGCCGAGCTGGTGATAGGTTCGGGAAAACTACGCCCCCGCCCCCTCCACGGGCGGGAAGGGGCAGGAGGAGGAACGCGGGGGAAGGATCAGCAGGAGGAGGAGGAGGACGAGGAGGAGGAGCAGAAGGGGATGGGAGGAGAGGGAAGTCACGCCCAGGTGATGGCGTTGCAGTGCGTTCTCGGCCCCACGATGCAGACGCACTACGTGACGTTGCGCGGCGCCGTGCAGACGGTGCTTGCTAAGTGCCCCTCCTCGCCTTTCCTCGTCCATCTCATTGCCCCTCCAAACTTGGATAGGAGGTCGGTGTCCCGCGGTGTCCCGTGGTGAGATCGAGAGTGAGATCGATGGTAGGATCGATAGTGGGATCGGTGGTGGGACCGATAGTGACGTCGATAGTGATACAAACAGTGAGATCGATCGAGTGAGATCGATAGTTAGATCGATAGTGAGATCGTGAATGCGGTCGATAGTGGGATCGATAGTGAGATCGGCGATATCGATAGTGAGATCGATAGTAAGATCGAGAGTGAGATCGGATATCGATAGTGGGATCGGTTGCGAGATCGATAGTGCGATCGATAGTGATATCGATAGTGAGATCGATAGTGGGATCGAAAGTATGATCGATAGTGAGATCGATAGTAGGATCGATAGAGAGATCGATCGTGGGGTCGATCGTGAGATCGATAGTGAGATTGATAGTGAGATCGGTGATATCGATAGTGAGATCGACTGTGATATCTATAGTGAGCCCTAAACCTGAGCCCGATATCCTCCCCCGCCCCCCCCGCCACAGGTACCCCAGGGCGCTGGCCAACCACGACCACCTCAGCGACAAGGTGCGGGCGGGCAACTTCGCGGACAAGCTGGGCACGCTGTGTGCCCACGTTCGCCGCCTGCACACGTCGGAGACGCGTCGGCGCCAGGCCCGCACTTCCCCCATCCTCCTCATCCTTCTCCCCCTCCTCCTCCTCCTCCCCCTCCTCCTCCCCCTCCTCCTCCTCCTCCTCATCCCTCATCCTCGTAACCCTACTCCTCCTTATCCCTCATATACCCTTCTCCCTCCATCCCCGCCTTGCACCTCGAGGCGATGGCCCAGTGCACCGCGCCCGAGCGCGAGAAGCTGCTCCGCATCTTGAGCTCGGTCATTCCTCTTCCTCCTCCTCCTCCTTCTCCTCCTCCTCCTCCTCCTTCTCCTCCACCTCCTCGATATCCTCCTCCTCCTCCCTCCTCCTCCTCCCTCCCCCCCCCCCCCCCCCTCCTCCTCTCCTCTTTCTCCTCTCCCCTCATGCTCTATGCCCTCCTCCTTTTTCGTCCTCGTCGCCCCCTCCTCCTCCCCCTCCTCCTCCTCCTCCTCCTCCCCCCCATCCCCAATCCCCCCCCCCTCCTCCTCCTCCTCCCCCCCCCCCTGCTCCCCCCCCCCCCCCACCCCCCCCCCCCCCCCTCCTCCCCAATCCTCCCCCTCCGCTGATCCCCCATCTTCCCCTCATTCGGTCCAGAGCGAGTTCGAGACGCCGCCGCGGCCGCCGCGCCCTCGCGCGAGCCCGTCGCCGCCGCCCCGCGGCGAGGAGCCCGCGGGAGAGGCTAGGGGGGAGGAGGAAGGAGGAGGAGGAGGAGGAAGGAGGAGGAGGGGGATGGGGGAGGACGAGGAGGAGGAGGGCAGGGAGGGATCACGAGGGCGATGATCCATTCGGGGGGGGCGGAGAGGATTCGGGGTGACGTCGGCGAGGAGGCCGGGCGGGGGAGAAAGAGAAATGGGGAAATGGGGGGGGGGGAGGCGACGATGATGATGCTGTTAATGATGATGATGACGACGGTGTTGCTGATGATGGTGATGATGGTCATAATGATGGTGTCGTTGTTGATGATGATGACGGTGGTTATGATGAGGATGACGATGTTTAGGATGTTGATGATGGCGATGATGGCGACGCTGGTCATGGTCATGGTGAGTGTGTTTATCGCGACGTCGATGGTGATGACGATGACGATGATGATGCCGATGATGGCGATGGTCATGGTGATGGTGTTGATTGCGATGATGAAGACGACGATGATGATGATGCTGATGATTATGATGATGATGATGATGTTGGCGCTGATGGTGACGACGATGATGGCAGCGATGATGATTGGGAAGAAGGGGGGGACATGATGGTGGAGGCGACGACGGCCACCTCTCCTCCAAGGTGGCTCTACTCCCCCCTCCCCTCAGTATATATATATATATATACATATTGCTGTCATATATATATTTTCCCGCCCACCTCCCCCCCCCCCTTTCGGGGGAGGAGGAGGTGCATGCCTGTCGCTGTCATGCGTGCACACACAATATATATATATATATGCTCCTCGGGTCCTCCATCCGCCTCCTCAGGTCCTCCCCCTCCTCCTCCTCCTCCTCCTCCCTCCTCCTCCTCCCTCCTCCCCCCCAGGCCCTCCCCCCCCCTCCTCCTCCTCCTCCTCCTTGCCCCGAGGAGATGGAGGAGATCGTCGACGAGATCGAGTGGTCGGAGATCGTCGAGGAGATGGCCCTCACGCCGCTCCAGCTCAAGGAGCGCGCGCACGCCGTTTTTGGGGGGCAGGGGCCTTTCTCTCCTCCTCCCCCTCCCCCTCCTCCTCCTCCTCCTCCTCCGCCTCCTCCCCCTCCTCCTCCTCATCCCCCTCCTCCTCCCCCCCCTCCTCCTCCTCCTCCTCCTCGCCCTCTCCCTCGTCGCCCCCCTCCTGGAAAGCGCTTCGCTTGACAATCTGATAACTGTCTGATAAAAGTCTGACGTCAGACACTTATCAGATGGGCAATGGGAGTGGGGAGCGGGATAGGAGGAGCGGGGTAGAGGGGTGGGAATGGAGTGACGTAAGAGGAGGAGGAGCGACGTAAGGGCGGGGAATGGGGTAGGGGGCGAGGATGTCTCAAGCGAAACGTTTGTTGAGGGGAGGGCGCAACATTTGTCGAGGATGTCTCGAGCGAGACGTTCGTTGGGGATTGAGGATGTCCCAAGCGAGACGCTCGTCTCAAGCGCCACGTTTGTTGAGGGTGTCTCAAGCCAGACGTTTGTCTCGAGCCAAACGTTGGTGGCGCAACGTTTGTCGAGGATGTCTCAACGTTGGTGGTGCAACATGCGTTGGGGATGTCTCAAGCGATACGGTTGTCTCAAGCCAAACGTTGGTGGCGCGACAGTTGTCGAGGATGTCTCAACGTTGGTGGCGCAACGTGTGTTGAGGATGTCTCAGGCGATGCGTTTGTCTCAAGCGAAACGTTTGTTGAGGGGGGGGGGGGGGGGGGGGGGGGGGGCGCGCGTGCGTGGTGGGTGGGTGTAGGGGCGGGGTGTGGGGGGGGGGGGTGGGGGGGGGGGGGGGGCGAAACCACTTGGTGAGGATGTCCCAAGCGAAACGTTCGTTGGGCTTTAGCACGTCGCTCCGTAGCCATTGTGCGCCGAGTATTTTGGCAAGCGAGCCCATCGGCCCACCGCGCGACATCTCGCGCCATGTCCACGAGCGCCAAGTCCACGAGCGCGGCGGCGCCGCGCGCCGACCCCACCGCCGACGAGTTCGTCGACCCGACCGCCCGCGGCGTGCGGATCCAGCCAGGCCACGGCATTAACCCCCCAGGGCGCGCCATCCCGATCGAGGAGATTTTCCCTTCGAGCCATCGGCAGCTTCGCCCGCTCTCGGACTTCTCTCCACGGTTCGCCCGCAGCCAGCCCAAGGGGCCCGAGACGCCCTCGCAGGAGGAGTTCAACTTGGACTCGACCGCCTCGGAGCTCGACAGCCCGCCTACGAAGAGGACGAAGATCACCAAGAAGACGAGCTCCCAGAGTTGCAGCCCGCAGTGCACGCCGATGGCGCCCGTCGGCCTAGATGCGACCGATGTGGAGACGCTGCCGTATCCTAAGGAGGCTACGGTGACGACGACGACGTCGACGACGACGACGACGACGGGAATGACAACGACGACGACGACGACGACGCCGACGCCGACGACGTCGACGACGACGACGTCGTCGTCGTCGTCGTCGTCCTCGTCACCGTAGCTTCCTCGACAGGGCGAACGATGTGGAGACGATGTGGAGACGCTGCCGTATCCTAAGGAGGCTACGGTGACGACGGCGACGACGACGACGACGACGACGACGACGACGGGAACGACGACGACGACGACGACGACGACGGGAATGACGACGAAAAAGACGGCGACGACGACGACGACGACGTCGTCGTCGTCGCCGTCGTCACCGTAGCTTCCTCGACAGGGCGAGAACGAGGACGAGGCCGAGGTCGTGCGCATGCCCGAGGTTTCTGTGCCCCCGAGCCCGCTGCCGCCCCAGGACGACGCTGGCGCGCCCCCGAGCCCGCTGCCGATCCAGGACGACGCTGGCGCGCCCCTGAGCCCGCTGCCGATCAAGGGCGACGATGACGCGCTCGTGCAGCTCGGGAGGTGGCTCTCGTCGAACTCTGATGACGCTGTCGCGTAGGGCGCTGCCATATAGAGGCAGCGCGCGCTAGCAGTTGTCGGGGGTGGACAGAACCCCCAACAGTGGCACGTCGATTAGTGAATTGTCCGTTTTCTGTTCTCGAGAGGGCGCCGTGGCCGTTGTTTTCCAGGCTTGCGCCCGCCAGGTTTGGGCTTCAGGTCGTTTTCACTAAACCACGTTTTACTAAAGGGAGGTCTGTCCATCCCCGAAGTTGGGGGTTCGCTCTGCGTCCCTCGCCCGTTCGAGGGCGTCGCCGCGTCTTTTTCATCTTATTCGGGTACCTGATCGCTCGTAGCATCAGGTTACGCAGCTCGCTCGACCTAGTTTGAAGCTACTAGATCTAGTACTTGTCCTGGGGGTCAGGACCACTGTTGCACGCGCGTCGAGTAGCGCGGAAACGCCATCACCATCACCGTCGTTACGAGATCGCGAGATTACGGGGAGGGGGATCACGGGGGGGAGGATGAGATCACGGGGAGGATGAGATCACGGGGAGGAGGAGGGGGAGGAGGCCACGAGGAGGAAGAGGTCATGGGGAGGGGATATCACGGGGAGGAGGAGGAGGAGGAGGAGGAAGTGATCACGGGGGCATTCGGGGCGATGATATCACGGGGGGGAGGAGGAGGAGGAGGAGGAGGAGGAGGAGATCACGGGGAGGATGAGATCACGGGGAGGAGGAGGGGGAGGCCACGAGGAGGAAGAGGTCATGGGGGGGGGAGATCACAGGGGGGAGGAGGAGGAGGAGGAGGAGGAGGAGGAGGAGGTGATCACGGGGGCATTCGGGGTGATGAGACCACTGGCAGAGCAGCAACAGCAACGCTCGCGCAGGAGCTCGGGGACTGGCTGGCCACGCCGTCGCCGAAGGTCGCGCGCCAGACGCCCAAGGGCGCGCCGTCCATCGAGGGTGACAAGGACGACGCGCGCTTGCTGGCGGTGGCCAAGCGCGCGAAGGCGCTCCCTGGCCGCAAGGCTGATATCTGGAATATTGTTACGATTGCTTGTCTGGGCAAGGTTCTCTTGGACTGGGAACGAAAAGGTATAGGCCTGAAGCTGTCACATGAGGCTGCTTCTATTACTATCTCACACTTCATTTGGGCGGATAACTTTGTTTTGATTGCTGACTCCAGACCAGCACTGAGGGAGATGATCTGGCAGCTCACTGTACCACTGCATGCATGGGGACTCAGATGGAAGCCTACCTCGCTTGAGTATATGGATGTTGGGGCGCTGAAAAATGTGTTCGACCCGCTGGTGGTCACCATGACACCACCAGGATTGGAGAGACTGGGAAGTTCCAGCTCAGTTGTGTCGCCATCTGAGGCTGTCAACCAGACCATTGTGGAACTCAAGCAGGTTGATGAGATCATCGTCTTGGGCACAAAGCTGAATAGAACACTGGATGATTATCACGATATTCGATACAGACTGCAAAAAGGCATCACAGCATTTTGGCGAGATCGACGATATTATCAGAGTATGGTCATTCCTTGGCGACGTAAATTCAAAAGATATGATGCTAGAGTGAGAGTTCAAATCCTTTATGGAGTTGAGGGTTCATCTTCTGATATTGGCGTACTGAGACTTCTACACAAAGAGGAGGGTAAGATGCTCTCTCGTATGTGCTGGCGTCAGAAGCGCAATGGAGAGAGTTTTGCGACTTTCATGACACGTATGTTTCGACGTGGGCGCTTGATGCTACACAAGGAAGGGAAACCGTCCTTGGTCCAGCTGTACCTGCACAGGCAGTTCATGTGGGCCAAGGACGTTGCCACGGAGTGCTTTGAGAATATGGCAGGCTCGCTGCAGGACTTGTGTATCTCTGCAACGGGAGGGTCTCAGCTGATTGGGAAGAGCATGGAGGAGGAGATGATGGAGATGGAGGTGGAGGAGTCAAACAGGAGGAAGAGGAAGAGTGCTCTCATCAGGGAGGTAAAACGAGCTCGTGAAGGAGAGTCCCAGAACACGTCCAGGTTGCAGGTTGGGGCCCAGGAGAAGCAGGTTCATTTTCCAGGGAGAAAGCTCCGTTTTCGTGAAGGGGAGCATGTTGACCGAGGTGCTCAGAGTAGGCTTCTCATGCTGCATGCAGGCTTTGAATGGACTAATAGGCGGGATGACTTTATTGCGACCCTGGACACACAGAGCGCACGGGAGGTGACGAGAGCCAGGGGACAGTCTACTAATCTTCTGGGAATGTGTCCGTGGGCCAGAGTGTTCGAAGAGGTGGCGGGGAAGTACTGGATTGACGGTATTGCTTGGGATGAGGCTAGCTGGATATTCTTTGTGAGGACTGTCTTGAAGGACGCTCCTGAGATGTTGAACCTTTGCGTATTGAAAGACCCCGTGCCCTGGAAGGAATCGGAGGAGGAGGAGATGACTAAGAAGCAGGAGGACCCAGATAAGTTGGCCAAGCGTCTCATTGCTATATTCCAGGACCATACTGAATTTGAGTTCGTGCCAGGGAAGATCTCTGTGGAACTGATGGGGGATTCGCAATGTGTGATCAGGTGGTTGGAGGGCTTGAGTAGTATCACTAATAGAAAGTATGCTAACTGTGTGATGTGGGCGCAGGACACTACAAACGACCTAGCCGACAGATGCGGACTACGAGCTGCCAATTTAGGACGGAATGTGTGGAAATGGGTATATAGGGAGGGTAATACTCGTGCCGATGAATTAACGTGGGCCGCGCGGAGAGGTGAATGTTTCGAACACTATGATACTTGTTTTCTTCAGGACGTGAAAGATTGTAAAGTTGTGATCTCGGGGATCAAAGGAGGCTTTGATGGTGGGAGATCGTGTCTTGGTGTAGGCTGTGGCTGGTATCTGGATTGTCATGTGTATAGTGCTCTCCCCTCCTCTTCTTACTATAATCTGACTGGCTGGCGCCAGAATGTAGGTCTCAAAAGCTTCCTCCTCCCAGCACAATGCACTATCACAGAGGCTGAGCTTGAAGCTGCCCGAGAGCTCCTCTTAGGAGTGGTGCATGTCCTGAGTTTGTCAGGATATCCCCTGTAGGACTGGGTCTGGGGCTCCTAAGGAGCTTAACCCTGCCAGGACCCGCCCAGAAGCGCCAGAAGGCTGCCACCAAGGCCAACGGCGACGACGACAACGACGACGACGGGGCCTGGAAAACTGCCCTACGTCGGGCGCGCGGTCCTGAGGACGACGACCACGAGGACGACGACGACGACGACGCGACGACCCTGGGCGGGGGGTCGTCGTCGTCGTCGTCTTCGTCGTCGTCGTCGTCGTCTGTTCGAGCTTCGAGGGTTTACTTGCTTATCATGCTGTTCCTGGGCCTCCTGGATGCGCCCTCGTGGCCACGGCTGGATCGGCGCTGATATGCAAGCCAGGACGCGTCCCCCGTCGGTATCGTCGTCGTCGTCGTCGTCGTCGTCGTCAGAGTCGTGTCCTCGTCCGCGCCTTAGTGAGGAGGAGGAGGAGGAGAGGGGGACGAGGGGGAGGAGGAGGAGGAGGAGGTGGATGAGGAGGAGGAGGAGCAGGAGGAGGAGCTTGCTGGCGCGGTTCGCCCCTCCCCTTAGAAGATCGCCAAGAGCGCCAAGGAGCGCAAAGGGGTGGCGAAGACGGGGTCGCGCTCGGCCGTGCGCCCGTCTCTCGGTGAGCTGCGGGTCGTGTACGGGTCCAAGCAGTCCCACATCGTCCTGTTCGACAAGAAGTCGGGCAAGCCCCACCTGTACGTCGCAGTGACGAGTTCGCAGAGCGGGGACCACGCTAATCTCATCCAGAAGATTTTGAAACATTCGTGCACCAAAGGCTTGACGAAGCCAAACGCTGTGAAGTACCGCAACGCGTTGTTAGCTAAGTGCTAGGCTGTGCAAGCAAGTGTTACTACACCTTAGGCGATGCTTGAGAAAATCCCAGTTTTCGACCAGATTCCCGATTATTCTTAACGTTTCAATGTAAATCTTTAGATTTTAATAGAAATGCTGGGTTTTGTTATCCAAGTTCTGAGACTATGAATGTCTTAACGCATGATTTCTTGAGCATTTCGCAGGGTGTATGTCGCAGGCTAGGCTGTGCAAGCAAGTGCTAGGTGTGCAGGCTAGGCGCATCAGGAGACTTCCACGGGTGTCCGCACGAGCTGCCACGATATCGGCCACGATGGCTGTACATTTCGCGGACATGTGTGCAGAGGGAAGTTGCACATGTTTGCGGTTGGGTAGGAATTCTCGGTGTGTCACCACGCATGCCCAATTATGTGCTGGGGTGTTGCTTGCGCGATTTCATCCCCCCCCCTGTTCCCCTCGATCCTCCCCCCCTCCCCGTAGGCAGCTTATGCCGCATGAACATCGCCTCGCGACGCGCGAGGTCCGTTGCCACATCTCTCTGTGAGAAATAAAGGCACCTTCCCACACCGCTCAGACAATGCATCCCGATCCTACTAGACAGTTCAGTCACATCCTACCAGGTAGGACCCTACCAGACCAGTTCAGGCAAGCCCTACCAGACAGTTCGGTCATGCCCTACCAGACCAGTTCAGTCAGACCCTACCAGACAGTTCAGCCAGCCCCTACCAGACCAGTTCAGTCAGACCCTACCAGACGCATCCAGTTAGATTCTACCAGACAGTTCAGCCAGACCCTGCCTGACCAGTTCAGTCAGGAAGGATTGCAGAGGATGGCTTACAATTTCCTCACGCGCCCGTCGTGCTCTTTGGGGCCTTATGCGTCTTGTGTGTATTGGGGCCTTAGGCGTCTTGGGGCCTTAGGCGTCTTGGGGCCTTATGCGTCTAGGGGCCTATGCGTCTTGGGTGTCTAGGGGCCTTAGGCGTCTTGGGTGCCTAGGGGCCTTAGCGTCTAGGGTTCATG